CCTGGGCCCCAAGGGTCAGGAGAGGGGACACGGCTGATGAGGGACATGGGGGCTCCTCAGAGCTCCTGGTGTCAGCACGTGGGTTTATGTTATTATTCCTTAATCTCAACGGATGGCATGCACGGTGTGTGTGTGTGTGTGTGTGTAAAACACAAGCATTTGCCTGTGTGGTAGAATTACTGACTTTTTCAAAAAAGAAAGGAAAACAGGGACAGCAGGAACGGCCGTGGGAATATAAAAAAGGATGAACGTGAGTACGAACACGAAAGGAAGGCTAGCCTTTCGTGCTTGGAGGGGAACGAAGAAAATAAAGATTTTCTCCGGGGGGAACTGGAATAGCTACTCAGCAGGTAACTTCACATATACACTCACCTGCTTTTTGGTTGCAGGGTACTTAATATCGAGAATTAATTCCTTTATTTCTGTTTCAACCGAATCTAGAAAGAGAAAATTAAGCAAAGTAAAATTTCCACTTTTATCGCAGGCAAATTATATTCTGAAAGAAAAAGGCATCTATGTGTACTGCCCGTCTGCTTGAAGGGTGTCTGGGTCTCTGGCGCTACTGTTACAGATGTGAACACACCCTGAAAGGGCGACTCCATTGGATAGCACGGTGAGCGCCTGTGCCCCGCCCCCTTCTGAAGAGCCGTCATAGCTCATCAACGCAATCTAGTGTCTGACGGCTCCATTTAGAGCAGGGTGGGGAACCTTCTTTCCGCCAAGGGCCATGTGGATATTTATAACATCTTTTGTGGACCACACAAAATTACCACTGACGGCTCCATTTAGAGCAGGGGTGGGGAACCTTCTTTCTGCCAAGGGCCATGTGGATATTTATAACATCTTTTGTGGACCATACACAATTATCACCTTAAACATTAGCCGGCTATACTTGGTCAAACATGTCATTAACTCACCCCTTAGTATTTTTACTAGAAAACACCCACCAAGACTGGGAGATTTTGATTTCAGCAAGGCTGCCAATTTCTTCATTAAGTGCATGTCCTTGGCCCGTTCGCTCTTCTTGTCACTGAAACAATAAACACAACACGTTCGTACAAATGTGACCTTGCTTCCTTCTAATTCTGACCCTCCGACTGTGCCCTGTCCTTTACTCTCTTCCTACTTAAGTTTAAAGGTATCGGGCTCATAAGAAAAAACACACACAGGAAAACAATAATTGCAAAACTACTAGCGAGACGCGGGCGGGACGAGTTAGCAGTGGGGCGCCAGCGAGGGACCCCGAGAAGCCTCACCTCAGAGCCAGGTGGAAAGGAACCGTCACTGTTTTCACACCTGCAGACACCGGGTCCACGAGGCAGATCTGGTAGGTCTGTGGCTGCCAGCTCTGACTGGTGACGTTATTTAAGCCCATTATTTTATAGCCAGGATACAGGAGCCTGTATACACAAAGAAATCACACACCAATATGGTGAGCACATCAGAGAAAGGAATGCCACTAGGGGCTTCTATTATGGCCTGGGACCCAACATTACAGCAATGCAGAAGCATCGATAAGGCAAATAATACAAACGGATACCAAAACAGAAGTGAAGTGGGACTCGACTGGCAGAGTGCTGCCTGTTAAAATGTGCTAGAGCCCGGCCAGTGTGGGTCAGTGGTTAAACATTGACCAATGAACCAAGAGGTCGCTGGTTTTGAGGACACATGCCGGATGCCCAGTAGGGGGAGTGCAGGAGGCAGCCAATGGACGTTTCTCTCACAACGATATTTCAATCTCTCTAGCCCTCTCCCTTCCTCTCTCTCTAAAAATCATTACAAACATATTTTTAAAAAATGTGCTAGAAAAGGAAATGAACACAGGCCCGTGTTGCAACGGCAAACACAGCATCTGACATCTGAAGGCATCTTCCCTCCAGAGCCTCCACAGCGTGAGGGACAGGACAAAAGGCAGCACCAAAGCTAAGTCATTCGGTAGCACATCACGGCCTTTTCAAGGTTTCTCTGTTAGCACACACTTGCAGGAAAAACCGTAATAAAGAACATGTGTCTCAAACAACCTGCAAACGAATAAGCAGACTGAATGAAAGCTTTACTTGGATGAAGCTCTGCTGCACCAGGAAGGGGCGGCCTGCAGCTCACCTGCAGTGCTTGCCCACGTTGAACGCGCCCACTCTGGGTCCCTGCTGTGTGCTCCACACCTCCAAGATCCCCCTCCTCGGCGCGTAGATCACGAGGAACTGAGCCACTCGACTGGGGCCCTGGGGACTCCCGAAGGGGGAGGGGTCCCCCTTTTCTGGGACTCTTTCATGGAGGTCCTCTACCACCTGGACCCAACCAATCTGGGCGTCCCGATACCCTGAAGACAGGAGAAAGGGATGCTAATTGGTAAATTAATGTAAGTTTAACAGTAGCCTTCTCAAGCACTATGGGACTTTTTGGGGGTGGGGAAGGAATTTAAGAAAAGCTGTAAAACTTTATCTTTAAATTATGAAATACCTTAAACAGAAACTATTAATAATTATAATAAATATAGAATCAACCAAGAAGTCTTATTAAATCTTGTATTTTGCTCAGTTTGCTTCAGATCGCTTGTTTTCTTTAAGAAGAAAACAGGTGTCACTGAAGCCTCGTGAACCTCCCATCTGATTCCCTTCTCTCCCTCTCTTTAAAAACTCTCTCCCTTTAAAACACTCTGGGGAGATGATCAGGTTGGGTTTTGAAACAACAGTCCATTTAAACTTTAAGGAAGAGATCAAACTGACTTCCTGTTACTCAAGTTCCTTGGTGGTGGGCAGATGGAGGGAAAGTGTGGGCCGCAGAGTGAAGGCAGGTGGCCGCTCTCACAGGCCATCGATGCCTCTCTTCCCAGCACAGGGAGGAGAACAGATTGCACTGGGGGCCGAAAGGTGAGCAGCAAGGCTAGCAACAAGCCCGTCACAGGGGATCTGGGCCGGCTGGCACACCCGCGCCTTCCAGGTTCGGGGCAAGTCTTGCTGAGAACACAGACTTGATGTTGCTTCAAAAGACGAACATCACGGAGGAATGATGTGTCTGCAGCACTGAGCCCTACTTCTGCAGACACTGACGCACGTGGCCAGTGATTGCTGTAGGAATTGGTAAATTAATGTAAGATGAGAATGGACTCCATCCGGTCCAGAGCAGTTTAATGTCCTCAAGTCCATTATGCCAAGTGCAGACCAGACTGCACCATAACTATGGTTTCCAAGCTGTGCTCACATGCTATTTTTCAGGTGATTCCCAACGATGCAGCGTCCACTTCTTCCTTCGTCAAAGACTTTTTATTTTGTTCAGGTCGACAATGTAACTTCATATTTTCAAGCCTTCCTAACAGTTACGTAAGACCATGTGACTAACTTCTGGCTAATATCTTATCGAAAAAGGTTGGAGGGCTTCAGGAAGTATCTTCAAAGTAGACTGACTCCTTTCCCTTCTTCCGTCATGGGATACAGACAAGAGGGCTGGAGCTCCAGCAGCCTTTTGCACCATGAGAGGACCTTGAGTGGGGAAGCTACATGGAAGGACACTGGGTTCCTGAGGACACTGTGGTGATTTCATATCAATCCTGTAGTTGGGTCGGATATTAGCAGCCAAATGCAACTCCCAATTGACACAGTTACTAATAACTTTAAGTGAACTGGCCAAGCATACGGATAGAGAAATCAAGCCAGCGAAGATGGATTTTTTTGCTTCT